TGCTGAACCTTAAAGGCAAAACAAAACAGGATTGAAAAAATTAACTCTATAGAGAACACATTTATAAAACTAAACCCCTAGGAACTGGGCTTAAAGCAGCCTAGTTTCCTATAAATTTGCAGCTAACACGAATTCCAGTATGAGTTCTTTCAAGGATCTTCCAGTGTCTCAATATGACAGTTCATGCTGAAACTTTCACAGAGTTACAAATCAGGACTCTCTCTCCTCTTCCCAGATGTCTAGACCCCCATCCCTGTCCTCCACCACCAAAAGACTTTACAACCTCTACCTCTTTATCTAATTAGACTGAAAGTAAGTAACAGCTAAAAAGAGACCGCCCACGGTTCAGAACGGGGGTTGAAGAGGCACAGATGCATGCACTGTATGAGCAAAGCACGACTTGGTATGTATCCTCAGAAGCAGGTACATCATGCTGACGTATATCAGCACATACCAGCCATCTCTCTTAACCGTGTATGTCTCACCCTAGACACTTGCAGAACTATTTCAGGTAAAAAGAGGACATTATAATCTATACAACTTTTCTAGCTACCCCTCTAAGCGCTTTGCCCCACGTTTGCTTCAGAAAGAGCTTATCTTACAGACACTACAGCATCTTTCTGTTGCATTTACTTCACACTGCATTGTAACCGGATGCTGGAAAAATGGTTCTTAGCTGTCTCCTGGAACCAAAGTGAGCATATTCCTAGTCAACTTCAGTAAACATACACAGAAAGCTATTTTTCAGAAGACTTTTTTATCCCCACAGCATGATTTTAACAGTTACTAGTAGCTAGCAGCAAGACTCTTCTTTACCCATTCACATCACTGTCAGCATAGCCTTACTACCTTTAGCACGGCAAACACACGCTTAAAAACAACGGAGAATACCAGGTCCTGTGCCAGCTGCTGGATGAAGTGAAGCGTCTTCAGGAGAAGCGTTGTGCCACAAACCGTATCACCATCAGTCTTCCTGCACTGCAAGCAGTTCATGCTCCTACTGGGCTCGTCTCGCAGAGGCCGAAGATACCCAAGAACGTGCAGGCCTTGAACTCCGAGCCGTTCTGCTGTGTCTTGTCTTGTGCACAAGAACTTTATCATCAGGTACTGAAAGGACACAAACACAGCACAAGATTTGGTTTTAAAAGTTAGCATAAATTTAGCATTTAAAAGACATGAGTGCACCTGTGTGAAGGGACTGCAGGTGGGGTAGCGGGGGGAAGCTTTATTCCCTGTCAACCACTCCCAGAAGTTTAGAATATGGAGCCTGAGATTCAGGCTAAGCTTGAACCCTCCCCACATCCGAAAACATACAGTGACAGCTCTACAAGCTTAGTTAATTCATTATCAGTTCCATTCATGCTGCACAGCCTGTGCCTTGGCTCCACAGTCACTGCATTTTTGCTGGTTAAAGAAGTATTATCTGCATTTAAAAGCAAGCAGAGGATGGACACGTAATATTTAAGACATACTTCGATGCAATCTGCCCACGGTGAGGTGCAGCACACAAAGCTGAAGGGAACAGCAAGATCTGCCATCCAAATGTACTTGGTAACTGCACACTCCTAAGTCTCGGGGACTAAGGGTTACACAGCCAACCGCAGAATGTCTCAGCAAGCAGAGACGGCTTTAGAAAACGGCCCAGTTGACATCACTGTGCCACCCCTTCTGCTAGTTTCCACCCTACAGAAAAGTACTGGGGAGCTGTGCAACAGCTGATGCCAGAATCAAGATAAATACAGGGTCTGAAAAGCAAAGTTTCCTACTTGAGTACTACAAATACCCCATACCCTGCCACTCTTGAAACAGCAAAGTCCCACATTCCTCAAGGAAATCGACCTAACCGACAGGACTGCTTAGGAATGTCTTGTCCCTTGAAAGAAGGGTTGCAGAATACACGCTGTAACAACGCAGCAGTTAATTCATCCCGATATCAGAACAAAGCAACAGTCATGTCATCCATTTTAGAAATATTTCCTCATGATCAAACCACTAGTCTGCACATTATCACGTAATTCAGCTTCACATTTCATCCTGAAGCACCATTTAACTGCAGCTATAGAGGTGTATATACAGAGGAGAAGAATAAAACTCAGAGGACAAACGTCAAATAAATCCTTTAAGCAGAAGCCCACTGATATTTACCTCTACCCAGCAGAGCTCTCCTTGCACAAAAGGGGAGTTATGTTTATTTCAACAGGCATTACAGTAGAGCACAAAGATGAGCCTCTGCCCACCGTGACCAGGCCAAAGGGTTTCATGGCTCCTTACTTGGGAAATCCTGCATTGCTGCATTTTGACATCAACTTCATCCCATTCTTCTTCCACTTCAAACCAGCCAATCGGATCATCATCTCCCAAATCATCACACAAAGAACTGCTTCTGTGTACAGAAGAACGTAACAAACTTTGTAAGGAAAAAGTTTAAAGAAACTGCAAAGCTGCTGATATGCTACCAAAATATTTTTTGCACATTATGGCTGTAAAGATGAGAGAGAGGCAACAGAAACTTTCACATACCCGAACTCCAGCACACGCAAGGTCAGAAAATGGAGGAAATGCTTTTATCCATGTTCCCAACCTCCCCTCACTCCTAAGCAACAGTTCTGAGAAAGTAATTTAATAAAGATTAACTAAGAAATTATCTTCCTGTAGATCATTTCTGTGATCACTGATCTGTACCTCGAGCAGAAAGTTTGTTATACCCCTTTTTAAGCAGGTCTTTACATGAAGAGGCTGAAGACAATATATTTCCCCAAACACTTTAAACAGAGGCTCATTAAAATCAAACAAGTAACTATTAAGTGATGCCTATTTTTTCAGTCATTTGGAACAACTCTCAGTAGCTCCAGTGGCGTTGCGAGAAGAACTAATATAACAGTTATTTTCCACGTATTCGTTACAAGAAGGCCACCTCTACCTGTTTTTTAAGAATTGTTTGAATTCCTGCAGCCTCCATTTGTCGAATCTTTCAAATCTTTTGAAGTGCTCCTCTGCATGGAACTTCTCCGACGCACTATTATAAGCAAACACCAGCCCACACTGGGCACCGATGGCACCTCTTCGGACCTAAAAGAGCAAATCCAGAGCAACGTATTAAAAAGTTGACAATACAAGAAAGTGCTGCTTTCACAAAAAAAACCCCAAAAGTTATGGAAAGTAACTACATACAGACAATCCCGATCTCTGGAATTGCACAGAAAAATGAAACACACTTAGAGAATGCGTTAGTAAAACTTTTGTAACCCACTGAAACAGGAAGTAAGGTTGAGAGAGTGGGCTTGTTCAGCCTGGAGAAGAGAAGGCTCCGGGGAGACGTTACAGCCCCTTCCAGTGCCTGGGGGGGCTACAAGGAAGCTGGGGGGGACGTTTTACAAGGGCCTGTAGTGACAAGACAAGGGGTAACAGGTTTAAATTGAAAGTGGGGAGGTTTAGATGAGATATCAGGAAGAAGTTCTTCCCGGAGAGGGTGGGGAGGCACTGGGACAGGTTGCCCAGAGAAGCTGTGGATGCCCCATCCATGGAAGTGTCCAAGGCCAGGCTGGATGAGGCTTGGAGCAAGCTGGTCTAGTGGAAGGTGTCTCTGCCCATGGCAGGGGGGTTGGAACTAGATGGGCTTTAAGGTCCCTTCCAACCCAAACCATTCTATGATTCTGTGATACATGGTTAATATTTGCTACATTTATCACCCTGCTAGCACTAACATTAACTAGAGTTCCACATACTAAATTCCCATTCTAATATTGCATATTTTTATTCAACAAAATTAGATAAAACTAAAATGATGTATCCCAGTATCACTACAGTGCAGAACTGCTTGGCTGCCTCTCCAACTCCAGTTAGAATTTACTTGCTAGCAGTCCATCCATGTTTAATTCTCTCTGACATGGCAATATGCATCCTTGTTCCAGGAATTCATGTACTGCTTTGCCTTAAATAAATAAATTAATTCCTCTGCAGAAATCTCACTGAAGTCTTGTCCTGGCCATGAGATTTAATCAAAAGATCTTGCTTATAAATCAGACAAAAATCACACCAAACGTTCAAATTGCACTGGTGGCTCTGAAAAGAATTTGAAAGACCTACATTTAATCTGAACTCACACACTACATATCTTCAAACCTGCTATTCACAGAGTTGAAAAGTTATTTAAATACAAGATATCAGATCTTACACATAAATCCATACTCTTTAGAGAAAAATCATACACCCAAAAGTCACTGGCTTGAGTATATTGCAAGATACAGTGAAAAGCAATATGAAATAAGTGTCTTTACTACATGCTGGTGGCACCCTGGAACAATTTAAGACTTTCCTTTCCTTTCCTTAGGTTCCCCATGACTCACACCAAAGGAAAACCCTAAGATAACACTTTTTCATGATGAATTTAAAATTTCAGTTCATACAAAAACTATTCAAATTCAACTCTAGCACTAGGGAAGAAAGCAAGCCTTCCACTTCAAAAGCATACAGGAACTACATACCTTTATTCTAATCTGTGTCACTTGAAATGAAGATTCAGTTCCAGCAGAAAGAACGATACTTGCTCTGGTTTTCCCAGTTTCAGTGAGGAAACCTAGAGCAGCAATGGGAATAGAATGAGGTTGGAAGGACACTGCTAGTGCAAGCTGTTTGAAAGAGAGAACACTGAGATAGTGGACTAAAGGGGGAAAACAAAATCACAATGTTTTTCTAGTGAACTGCTCATTAGTAAATGTTTCCAAATAAACGAATACGGGGCAAGTAAAATACTGTATTATGTCAGTATATGCCCCCACTAGAGCATACACAGATCTCTCCAGCCAGAGTCTCTCTGGGGCTGCAGCAGTTTCAAGACTGTTTCCCCATGAAAGGTTACTAGTAACTCCCAGATATTACTTTGGTTTATGTCTCTATTCACTGACAGAACTCTCTGTTCCCCAAACCGCGATCCACAAAACAACAGAAATAAAACCAACAAAATCAGTAAAAGATAAAAAATACACGAGGAAACAGGTAAGGTAAACATTCAGAATGTGCCTGATTTTCTACCACAACAGCTTTCATTTATCAGTAACACTGCACAAGACATAGCACAACTAAAAAAGAAAAAAATTAGGTGGCATTTCACTTGAAAAGGAGGCCAAGAAACAAATCTTTTGGTTAACGCAGTATTTTTACGTACTGGAGACAACCTACACAAAGACGAGCTTTAAGGGAGAATTAATAGCTACATGCAGTCAGTAAAAAGAAAACTTCAATAATTTCTAACATATCTCTCCATCAATATCTGGAGAACCAGCAGCAAATGATTCATGACTTCAACCCACAAAATGTGCTCCAGTATAATTTTCTTTGTGACAGCTCATTGCTGACTGCCACACAGAAAGTCAATAATTATCTGCAAAATCCAACCTTTGTTTGTTTAGTTTTAACAATAAACTGGCCCCTGAGAAATCCGCCTTGTTGTAAAATAGAATTTACATATTGTTTTGGTTTCTTTGTTGTTTTGCTTTGTGTCTTGTTGATTGTTTGTGGGTTTTTGGTTTGTTTGTTTTATAGATCTTCCATTTCATAAAACCACTTAATAGCACCAAAAAATATATATAAAAATATAGGGAACAGCACCACAGTCTTGTTAATGGCCTTTGTGTCTGGTTGAATATTCTGAATTTTAACCCCAGGCTCTTACCATCCCCAGTCCATGGCTCTACAAGGAGGTTTTCGGGCCCTGATTTATCTTCTTTTCCCTTTACATCACATGCTTGCAGAGTTAGTCGTAAGGGTTTTCCTAAGAAAATCAACAGGATTAACAAATTTGCTTTAAAAAAATGGATAATACACTTTCTGAAGTTCATCATACAGGGGAAAAAAAAGTAAAAAATAACAATACTATGAGATTTTTACTACTGTCAGGCAAAAAAGGGGGAAGGAAGAGTGTAAGTGATAGTTCATCTAAAATAGCTCAAGTTTTAGGTAGTGACAGAAGGACACTGAAAGTCATGACAACTAATGTTCCTTCAACTGTTTGCACACATGAAAGTAGATGAAAGTACTGTGAACACCTAAGTATTTCACCTAAGTGAAAGTACCACTCTTGTCTTACAAGAGGCAACAGCTACTCCAAGAGAAATGATGCAATTTGCAAAACATTTGAAAGTAAATACTGATGTTGTAATTACAACATAATAAGCATGTTCTTTGGCACAAGCCTAGTCCTGAGATACTAAGAGGCAAACAAAGGGAAAAAGTCCTCATGAGGAACTAATGAGAACCTCAGAAGTTGATATCTGAGAAAATACAGGTTTATCAAACAAGTACGGTCAGCTCAGCAAATTCTCACCACCTAATGCCAGACCATGCACAGCTCCACACTCACAACAGGCAGATTAATTAGGGTAAACAATAGAGCTGTAAATAGATGCTAGTGACATTACATTTAAAATACATCTTAAAATTGTGAGTGTGTCTGTAAGAGAGACACTGAGGCTAAACATACTAAAAAGGTGTGTTATTGGAAGAATAACAACAATTGATGTCATTTGCCTTTCAGACGATGCAAACACTATTGCCACCTTGATACAGGAGCCACTGTCTACAAAGTCCACGTTCTCTCCCTCAAGACGATGTCACCTGGTTCAACTCTCAGCACACAGAAAACTGATCTAACCACCAACTTTCAGGGCAGTTCAGCTTCACAGGGTATCCTCCTGGCAACAGCTGTTAATTTAAAAGACTTGTATAATTTTAAACCCCGACAGAACAACTCAGCGCTGCCTTATGTACGTACAGTATAGGACCCAACAATTATTCATTTACCATATTTATACAGCAGGTTCTGCCTGACTGTTGCCATGGAAGCGATAAGGGATGAAGCCTTGTATGGAGTGTCCAGATGATCAGTGATGGTGCAAAGGGAACTTATCACTTTAGCGACACTCCCCCTGGCTAAGGCAAAGGCCAAGAGTGTAAGTTCAACCTCTGGAGTAGTACAACAGCTGGGGAGGGAAAAGAACAAGAGTATGAAAAGAAAACTCAGGATATTGGTTTTAAAAAAGACAAATAATGTTCACATGGAAAAAATCTATGGTGCCTGTTCCTTATAATAAAAGAGCAGGTGCATAGAAGTGAGATAAATTTATAGAATCAGAGAAATGTTTGGGTTGGAAGGGACCATAAAGATCAGCTAGTTCCAACCCCCCTGCCATGGGCAGGGACACCTTCCACTAGACCAGGTTGCTCCAAGCCTCATCCAGCCTGGCCTTGGACACTTCCAGGGATGGGGCATCCACAGCTTCTCTGAGCAACCTGTTCCAGTGCCTCACCACCCTCTCCAGGAAGAATTTCTTCCTGATATCTCATCTAAACCTCCCCACTTTCAATTTAAACCCGTTACCCCTTGTCCTGTCACTACAGGCCCTTGTAAAAAGTCCCCCCAGCTTCCTTGTAGCCCCTTCAGGCACTGGAAGGTGCTATAAGGTGTCCCCAGAGCCTTCTCTTCTCCAGGCTGAACAAGCCCAACTCTCCCAGCCTGTCCCCATGGCAGAGGGGCTCCAGCCCTCTGAGTATCTTCGTGGCCTCCTCTGGGCTCATTCCAAGCAGTCTATATCCTATTTTGCTATACAAATTTGCTATACAAATTCTTCTAAACCATTTCCACTGCATCAAAAAACAACAACACAAACTCACCTTGTTATTCTTACAAGAAAACTATCTACTTCTTCCAAAACATTCGGAGATAAGAAGCTTGAAAAATCTGTAGAGCCCGGTGTTAGGGACAGAGGTGGCATGTGTTGTAGTGCTTTCCTAGTAAAAGGGACGGAACATAACATCAGGAAAAGAATCGGAGAGAACAGCCTTCTAAAATGAACTAGACATTTGAATCTGCGCACTTTGTTTTTGCTAGCAGGTCTCTACATGTACCTCCTGAGTGTGCAAAATCTATTTACACAGAGTGTTCAAAAGTTGAAACCAGTATTGCATTCTAGGTGGGGAAAGTTCAACGACTGCCAAGTAACCTTGAAGCTCAGCCTCATCATCTCAGGTTTAATGAGACAAATACATCAGGAGGGTTTGAATTAAATCTGTGACAGCATTAGAAATAACTCAGTGACAAGTACTGCTTCATTTTAAACAGACCTAGAATTGAGCGATGGCCTGGTAATAACGGAAAAACTGCTGTTAAATTCCCTCAGAACAATTACAGAAACAAAGAGAGAAACTTGGTAGCTCAGAGCAGACTTTTTGTTTGATTTCCAAAGATAATACCCCTGAAAATAAAAATTCTTAAGTGGTTTCATCAAAGTCATTCTATCCAATACTAAAGTTTGGGTTTTTTACTTTATAATTCCAAACGCTGAATCTGTAATTCCTGAAGCATGTTTTTAGTCGAGATATCTCTGTTACAAGTTCTTTAGGCTTTAGCAGCTCCGCGTTCATATTATGTTTCTAAAAAATATTCTAGCAAAACCGAAGGCGCTCAGTTTTAGCGAAGCCTGCAACTATGAACCTTCCTCAGACATAAGCATGTGTAATGTTATCGGAACCGTAAGGAGCTTCCACAGATGACACAAACTCACAGATAAGCTGAATGGACTTCAGGCCACAGCATTCGTTAACCTCTTACGCACGGTGGCATCATGCTAACTAAGCTCTATAAAAGTTGATGTGGGCGTGTAGCGATTTTATTAGGATTCCAATCCTTCGAGTCATCAAGCACAAGTGCTTGGCAGTCCAACAAGGAAACGTTACGCAGAAAGTGGCCCATCACCACAAGCAAATATCTGCGCAGAGACATGGCAATGACCCAACGGCATCCCCACGGAATGCCTGACAAGGCATTGCACAGGCAAGAAGTTGCTGAAAATTAAGTTCAGTTAAGCTCCGGTCATAAGTGGAAGGTTTCCAATATTTATAACCAATAAAATTAATGACAAAAATTAATTTTAGGCTCCTCAAAATTAACACAAATCAAAGGATAGATAAAAGCCATATTTTTCGGTGTTCGTTCAGCCATAGCTTAACAACCAGATTAGATACAACACAGTATGTACAAATGGATAAAGAGATATATCCAAATTTAAACAGTGCGATAGCTAAAAAGATGTTTAAACACCGTAATGGAGGGAGTGGAGACCGGTTGTACAGGGTAGATTAGTTACTAAAGCTGGAATTATTTTGAAAAAATAAAGAAAAAAAGAGTCAGTCACGCAACTTGGAAGTTTGGTACTTACTGAGTGTTTTGTAAAATAGTGTGAACGAATGCTGGATTTGTTTCCATGGAAGCTGTTACCAGAGAGGTCAGCAGAGACCAGTACCAGATAGCCGAAGCATCACACACAGAGACGCCGACCTTCCTAACTCTTTGGTACCCGACGGCCCTGAGTCCATGGATTCTAGTGTCACACCCATCACTAAGGCAACGCTTGATGTTTATCTGTACATCTGTCAGAACACAAAATAGAGATGTTTTTCCCATGTCTTCTGCTGGATTAGCTCTAGAAGAATCTAGATAATCAAAACAATAATTACTGCAGAACCTCTTAGAAAAACAGCAGCATGTATGTAACAGCACTCCCACGGAGACAGCTACACAAGTGCTGCTTCTCTGTGCACCCCACGATATGGATAATTTAGCCTTTGAATGGCCTATGTAATCTGTTACATATTGTACTGCTCAAAATTAGGGAAAAGTAGTATAAGGTCCTCAAAGTGGACACTAGATTATAGGTTATTTTAGTTCCTTGTGAGGAACAGCACCCTTGCTGCCTGCTTGCGTGGCAGTGAAAGCTCAGCTTAGTGAAAAGCGCCTACTTGAACCGAAGGGACAAGGTTTCTGAAGACGCAGAAAGCATCTTAGGAAGGAGCAGCTTTCCTCTGGTTGCAATCCAGCACCCACAGATCTACCAGACTTAAAACCCCTTAGCATAAAACCTGCTCTATATAAAATCACCTGACCAACTTCAGAATTTTGCTACCAAATGATAAATTTGGCAGAAGCAGATTTTTTGCTAGATACTGTTATCCAACATATGCTTTCACTCTGCAAACAAAGATATTTTCAAATTGCCCGGTGCCTTCAAATTGAGAGGCTGGAACTGCACCTTTAGTCATTCTAGCTCTTCAACTCTCAGCCCAAGTCAGACAGATGCCATGAGAAGACTCTTATAGGCTGGAAATTAAACTACAATTAAAACAATTTCTCTGACCCAAGGATGAAGTCAAAAGTTTCTGCTCTAACGACTGACACATCACTACGATCTACCCAACCTCCCCCCATCAAAAAAAGCAGCAAAACAATACACCAATGGTGCCTTTATGGACTCACACATCTGACTAATGTTAGCGTTTTCCAACAGCGTTACGTAGCCAGTGATATTGCTTGGAATGTGAACGTCTCGGACCTCCTGAAGACTGCTGGCATTCCTCCCCACCGCCACCGTGACTTGCTGTGGCATGTAACTCTGGTCATTGGCTGCCACCGCAATGGACAGGTGTCTCAAAACAACATCTGGCTTCATCTTTAAACTGCAAAGCAAAGGCGATAAAACAGTTCTGGCAAAGAGAAGGTTAAGTCAAGCGCTTCACTTTTAGCTCAGCTTCGCTCAGTTTCCACTTCTACGAACACAAATAAATCCACTGCAAATTACCTAATGCTTCACAGGCCCTACCGAGCCTGTATCATGGTGGAGAAGTCAGAAAACTTGTAATTGTCTTAAAAGACAGTCACCACTGAGAACGGGAATGTAGAGCTTTCTATCGTTCAGCATTTCAACTGAGCACTCATTCCTCAGGAACAAAAATGTAGTGTCAAAAACGACCAAAGTGAGAAAACTTGGGGTTTTTTTAATTATACATACTACCAAAAACCCACTAAACATTTCTGTTTCATGGAGCAGTAGCTTTCTAGAGAGTGGCAAAGCTCTTCTGTCCAAGTACTAACCACAGCATCTATACTGGACGCAGTGCAACTCCATTCGGAAAGCCCCACTACAAAACAAGGGTATGTGTCGGCGTGGCAGATGCACGCAGTTTACAGTTACTGTGAGCACATTTCCTTGGTGGTTTAAACTTTATGCAGAGATTAATGACTTCGATTTTCAACTATATTGATCCGTCATTCATTAATTCCCCATTTTTTTCCAGTTACATCCCCCCCACTGGAAAACCTAAGGACTAACTACCCCAGAACTGAGCTGTACACTGCTGTGTTGCTCACCGTATCCAGTGTGAGCGAGCACTGCCGTCCGACTGCCAGAAGGATGTCGTTTCTCCATTTGTCATCTTGTCAATATCAGCAGAATTGGATGAGGTTTCTATGTGAGTGTAGCACTTTGTGACCGACTTCAGCTTGTCCAACTCCTGACTACCATTCAGGTCACTGGGGTATTCTGCAGAGAAAGGAAATCACTCATGACATTCTTCTTTTGCTTGTTCTTGAGAATTATTATACTTTTATAATAATTATCTCATAGAAATTAACTTGTTGGCACAAACAGCTCCTGTACTATTTCTGACAGAACCTAGAAGACAGCAAAGTTTCATTTCAGATGAAATCACAATAATCTCAATCTACTACCTGCAGTATGCAAGCATCTACTTTGCCTGAAGTTCAATAGCCTTTATCTCCTCCTTTCATTACTGGCCTCATCAGTGCTTTATTATTATTATGCCAAAATATGCAAACAAGTGAGAGGAAAAAGTAAAATATGATGGAGAAAGCCTCAATTCAGCTGTTCTAGGGAAGGGATAAAGCAGACTACTTCCCCAAGTAGCCTGATACGTTTCAATAAAAGTGTAGAGGTCTGAAAATATCAAGTTAAGGTGTGAAGAAAAGGAGCTCTCCCTCTAGGGAAACCACTAGGGCAGCCCACCTGAAACACAACGAAAGATTCACTACCTCCACCCCAAAACAATATTTTTTTAAAATACTTGAAATCTTACAATATTACAATATTTTGCTTTTTAACAGTCAACTGGGGAAAACATTGATCTTCACATGGAAACCAACTTTCTGGTAACCAGTAGGGATATTTGGCTGAATAGAGAATATCACAAGTATTTCATCATTCTGAAATAGGTCAGGAAAAGGATGAAAAACATCCAAGTCAGTATTGCTAGACAGTCAGGAAATTAATTTATGTGCCTCAAAAAAATCCCACAGAAACATGCAGATCAACTTCAGAAAAAGTCATGTCTTAAAGATTAAACAGAAAAGAAAGTGTTTTCCGTTATCTTCAAGTTATGGTTACACTCCTATCCTGGGGAAAAAGCAAGATATTACATACCCCTCTCTTTCAGGATAAGTCGATCTAGAGCATCCTTCAGTACAGAAGACCGCATAGTACAGATGTTGTTGAAGTACTCCAACACTGGGTAAGGGATGGCAGAACTAGAAATCCGATTGCGGTGCAAGAACCTCAGTATCATCGAAGCATGAAGACCAAGACGCTCTTTTGATTCAGAAAATATATCAATAAAACCTAGAAAGAGACATTATTTCTAAGATTGTTGCAACATCTGACTTGACCAAGTCATCGTTTCCCCCTGTACATCTTACTTAGATAAATCCAAGGCAAGCCTGGGAGCCAATATGGGAACTACATTGCCCCATACGCAGCAGCTCAAGTTTGCAACCTGCACAGCAGGACCATGAAAGGTGCAGGCACATTTCTGCCAGTTGCCTGAAATGCCTGATGATGTTCAAAACAATTACCAAAAATCTTAGTGCTTTCGCTTATTTTGCTGTCCCAAAAATTCCAAACTGTTACCTTCAACAGCTAGGTGAGACAGATGCTGCTTGGCTGATGAGCTGATGTACTCACACGACTCACCTTGCACTACGCTACGCACCTCACGTCAGCATTGGGGATTATTCCCAAAGAGGCACCTAATGCTTTCCAGCAACTTCGTAAGAAGTTTCAGCTCCTGAACGGTGGTACTTGGAATCACAGCGCGTTTGGATACGTAGAACACTACCCCAGAAGTACTCTCCTCTGACTTACCTATTAGCCAATTCTAACGCTTCTTCTCTGATCCTCTAAGGCAAATCCCCTTTAGCCACTTATCATCAAAGGCTTGGAGGGAATGCCAGTAACCGATACTCATCCCAGAAATCACATTCTGGAAACTGACACTTTCCAAACTACAGGCTATAAAATGTGAATTATGTTTTAGCAGGATTTTAAATGCTAAATAACAATATAATAAAGTATATGACTCAACCCCTGACACAGACTCCACAGTTATTGAGGACTGCATTAGCTAGGCACTCAGCAAAACTTTCACAGAATCACAGAGAGGTTTGGGTTGGAAGGGACCTTAAAGACCATCCAGTTCCAACCCCGCTGCCATGGGCAGGGACACCTTCCACTAGACCAGGTTGCTCCAAGCCTCATCCAGCCTGGCCTTGGACACTTCCAGGGATGGGGCATCCACAGCTTCTCTGGGCAACCTGTCCCAGTGCCTCCCCACCCTCTCCGGGAAGAACTTCTTCCTGATATCTAATCTAAACCTCGCCACTTCCAATTTAAACCCGTTACCCCTTGTCCTGTCACTACAGGCCCTTGTAAAAAGTCCCCCCCCCAGCTTCCTTGTAGCCCCTTCAGGCACTGGAAGGTGCTATAAGGTCTCCCCAGAGCCTTCTCTTCTCCAGGCTGAACCCCCCAGCTCTCCCAGCCTGTCCCCATAGCAGAGGGGCTCCAGCCCTCGGAGTTTTGTGCTCACCTCTGAGAAGGTGCTCACAAAACTTTGCAAGGAACTGCTTTTGTCTGTGAGAAACCAAACACGGCTAAGAAGCTCCCCAGTCACACAGAGAAGTAATTATCAGTTATTTATGAAAGTAAGTTAGCTGGATGTCATTATAGGAAATTTTTAACTTACAGCAACTTCACTTGTTTGATACCAGAGAAGTGAGAACGACCTGGAGTATGGTTTTGGTAAGACTGGAACAAGCAACACTAACAGAGCAGTTTACTGAAGCCGCATGCCTTATATAGGGCAGGACTGGGGAAACCATTCGGTCTGTCACCCTGTTCTCATACCTGGAACTAGTGAACAGGCTTGCAGTTGCCTGATTACATGGCTAAGCTCCCCTTGAAGATTAGCTCCACTAGAGTTCTTGAGAGCCTCCAGCATATTCTCCACATCTACGGTGCCATCTCCCTCAGCATCAAACTGCGCAAAGGCCTGAAGAGGAACAAAAAGAGAACATTTATTTCAGCATACTTACTTCAAGCTGAAATTCAAGGTATTTCAGAGAAAACGCAGCAGTAAACATTACAGGACCATTACATAAAGATCAAAATATTCCATTTTCTGTAGGACTGAATTCACGACAACAGGGAACAGCCTGGCTGGGAATCTGTCGTCTAAGTTTTAAGGCATTTGCACTGCCTTCCTATAAAAATCAACTCCAGTTATGCCTGGGTGGAGACAGCACGTCATCTATACCAGGGAATCAGCAGCACCATCCACTGACATCTGGGACTGCGAAGAAGGTGCTCACAAAAGAACCCTAAAAAGCTCTTCCATCCAAGGGTGAGTTAGTCCTGAAAGGCACGCCATCCCCTACTCATTACTGCTGCATCCATCTCACACCGCACCCACTCCAATTCTTTAAGGTTTCAAGGTTTTCTTTACTTAAGAAAGCATCCTTAGAACCAGAACATCTTTTAAGTGTGCACTTCCTTCCACATACTGTCCTCCTACACACCATACCAGCTTAGCATGGTTTGTCAAAGTTATTTGTGGAAATAACAGAGAGCATTAGGAAATTTTTTTTTCTTGTACAAGGGAACCACTGCCAGCTTTATTAACTTTGACCTTCATGTAAATTTTTATATAAAAAGTTGTGTTGAGCATGTATAAAGAGCAACTCACAGCTATGCATTCGCACCTTTGTGCTAAGAAAAGTACAAGACACTTTTGTCCAGCTAAGTCTATAAAACAGAACCAAACATTTATTTTATAACTCACCACTTCAGAGAACACATAACCCACTGACATACTACCATTAAAAAAAGCTATATTTTCACAATCATGATTAGTTTTGAACCAAAATCTGTTTAATTGTTAAAAAAAAACGTGAACATACCCCAAAAAGTAATGCAATATCTCAGGAGCATCCTTTTTTTTCATGTAAATTAGGAATGCACTTATGAAAGATTTCTTTATAAGCAAGGCTTCATCTCCCAGCCCTGACCTTGGTATTTCAAGTGCAGCTACACAGCCTGGCCCCTAAGAACAGACCCTCTCCCAAGCGTCTGGCTGAGGCAAGACATCGCTGCTGTTCAGGAGGAACCCTACGCTTGAACCTTTTGGTTTGCCACCTGGTTATCAAACTTGACGTGGCATTAAAAGTACCATCCCAGCGAGAAACAATCAGATTAGATCCAAATAACCCTCTAATTGACCATGACATAATTACACCGCTTACACGAGAGCAAAGTCCTCAGCAGACAACAGGACGAGACGCCATATTTTAGCTGAGCGACGTTCCGACGGCACTCCGGCGTCACGGAACTGCATGTTAGCGTAGCAGTTTTCTAAACTCCTGCTAAACATCAGCTGACCCCGTGCTAACAACGATCACCCTTAAAGCAAAAGGGACCAGTGCCAGGCGTCCCGAAGGTACCGCAGGTGGCTGGTGCTGGCCATCAGGTAGATACTGACGGGAAAAACTCGGACCTTTCCTTGAGGACAACCGTGCAGAGAGGAATTCATGTTGACAAATATCACCCAGTTGGCAAACCAACTCCACGTAGTTTCACACCATGCCATTCTTGCCACGATGGCTTTTTCTCCTCCTGTCTGACGGCAAACTGTGCAATTACTAAAATATGAAGTGAACAAGCAAGCGAGTTTTGTGATGTTACAAGTGAAAACAAAGCACACACGAGGCTGGATCTGCTGACGGCTACTTTAAACCAATTTCTCATACTTCCACGTAAGGAGAGATTACCCCATATATGCTTTTCTTTGCACCTTAATGCAGGGTTTCGTTGTTTTATTTTTAAACTCTTCCCACGATCTCAGGAGACCGCACCAACCTTAGAACTCCAGAATTATTTTTTGACTGTTCAGTAGAACTTAAACTCTATGTTTTACACAAAACACACCGTTTCTACTGCTCAGAGAAGCGTCCTGTGCAGTAGGGGCGTAAGCAGAAAAAGGTATCAGTGTGCAAACGTGTATTTGACCGAGTTGTGCTCGTGATGGTGACACGATGCAAACGCAGTAGCAGCTTGACCACAACCCAGCCCCGCTCTGCTCCTAAACAAAACCAGAAGTGCACACACTTCCTAGCCAGGTCAACCCTGAAAACGAAGAGACATTAGAGAAACATCTTTCCCAGGAAACGATGGCTAAAGGGATCGCTAGACAAGGCGGCACATGGGACGAGCACCTGCTCGACGCACACGCTCAGGAGCTGGACAGCACGACTGAAGGCCTTGGGAAGCTGCGGCACGAGTGCTTCAGGTCAAAGCTGCACGCACTACGTGCCAGCTGCTGAAGTACCAATGAATAAAAAAGGGTTCAGAGGTTCAGTTTACCTATAAACTACATTTTGCATTTAAACACAGGCTCATTTTACCCATAAAGCATTCAAAGTATGCGTTCACAAGCCCCACACTGAGAACAGAAACACTTAACAGGCACATCAAAACTTAGTCTACGCCAGACAGGATTTTATGAACATTAAAAAGGGAAACCTATTGACCTGCCACCCACAAACTAACTTCTCACCAGTGTAAAATACATCCTGGAAGACTGAAACACTACAGCCCATGAGCTAGTGCCAGTTACAGAAACAATGACATCAAAGTTTTCCAAACAACTCCCAACATCCCAACTCTGCAGGATAGACTAGCTGTGACCACATATCCGTACCATGAGAAACCCTTTGACAAGCTTTTTCCCTACTCCCTAGAGTAGGGAAAACCCCAAAATAACCAGATTTCTTCAGGCAGAGGAGGATGAGCAATACAGGCAATCCGCAAAGTATTTCTGCGGCCTGCAAAGCTCAGTTGGTTGCATTAACAGAAAGTACTAATTTCACTCTTACTGTCATTACAATGAAAGAATGTCCCTCATTGGCTCCTGAAAGGAACTGGAAATGGAGGCAGCAGATTAGCAGAGCCACTTAAAACTGTCTGGTATAAACATACCCATCTGTACAACAAAATTAATCTCTTCCCGGTTTCCAGTAGCCTTGCTAATATGCCAGCACTGATTTCAAGGAGCTTACGTGAGATTTAACAGTTTACCAAGTTATTCTACTGCTCAGGAGCAACACAAAGACAGCAGGGAGTCACTGGTGAGACTCGGGAAAGGCATGCAGCAAGAAATCCAGACACAACCACCTTCCCAACAGAGTGTGAAATTCCCAACAGGGCATTCTACTGCATTTTAAATGCTAGCCAGGGAGTAAAGCTAAAGTTTAAAGGTTCTCCGTGTTAAGTGGAGTTAAGATGTTACGTTCTCCATATCCCTTCCCACAGCTGAAGGGAAACCATACTGTCTTCTGCCACTGAACCTCACCTGAAGACCTTCTGCCTGTGGAGAGGAAACTCTGTTACACTACTTCCTTCCAAGTTCTCCAAAGCTCTTACTTTCACAGTAGTGAAACTACTAACTAACTAACTAACTAACTAACAGGATACTAAGGAGATACTTGACAACTTCACTGCTGATTTTGAAAAGCAACAATAAAATAAAGTCTGGTAAACTCTGACTCGCTGATACCGTGAAGAAGTATGTCAGAGGAATTACTCGTACAGAATTTCCTACCTGTGCTACCGCCAGCTGCACTAGCAGCAGCAATGTGGCTGCAAATAACCCTTTTATTCACAAGAGGCTGCTGAGCATGACCACTGAAAACAGGAGAATTTAAAAAATGAGGATACCTGTAAACTGACACCCTGCTACGAGTAGCAGCAGGGACTTCTTAACCTCGCTACAGCGCCTTCTGCTCTGGCCTCGCCCCAGTCACCAGGAAGGGGTGACCGGGGTACCCTGGGCCGCACCGATGGCCACGCTGCTCGGACCCTGTGCCACAGACGGTGCCAGCGCGCCCACGCC